GGTGGGGGGCCGCCCCTCCGGAGAGCGCGCTGCGCTGGGCCGCGGCGCCTCCGGGAGCGGGGAGGGGACGCGCGGGACCGTGAGCCCCCCTTCCCCGGGCTCCTGGCCGGTGGAATAAAGAATCAGGGGCGGCCGGCGGCCCACCCCAGACGGCCGGCCACCTGCTGTCTTCTCGCGCCCTGCTGTTTTCTTTCCGACTGCTGGAAGATGCTTTTGTTTCTGAGCCAGCTCTGATGACTCCCTCCCCCTCGCTCCAGGATCCTGGGGCGCCGGCAGCTCGCTGGGCAGAATAAAGCGGGATACCCGCCACGTGTTGAATGCGGGCCGGGTTCGTGCGGTTGCGCACGGGCCCACAAGCTGCCCGCGTGAGGCCGAGGCGGGGTGGGAGTGCCGTTCCGTCCACCCAGCACTTGGGTCCCTCCCGGGCCTTTGCCGGCCCCACTGGGGAAGGAGTGAGGGAGGTGGGCTGGGAAGGGCTGGCGGCTGGGACCGTGTGAGGTCGGGCACTGAAGAGGTGTAACTGCAGCATCTCCCCGGGACTCTGATGCCACTCCCTCGCCAGCTGTTGTAGTTCTGTCCTGGGGGTCCCTCCTTTCATTCCAAGCATGCCTGTGTGTCCGTCTTCCCTCTTAGATCTAAAATCTGAAGCAGGTCTCCCTGGCTCCCTTGTTAACGGCTCCGCAGCACCTGCTGACCGTGGGGCTCGGAGTCAGACCCGGGCCTTCCTCTCCTGGGCGACAGCACCAGCTGGCTCCCCGAGGTTCCCATAGTTACAGGAGAGGAGATCCGCTCAGAAGCGGGGGGATCTGTGAGGGCCAGTGATGGGGTGCTGGATTGAGGCTGGCGCAGCTCAGGGAGGGCCTCCCTGACGAGGTAGCACTGAGCTGAGCTGGGCGGTGGAGCTGGGAGGGGCTGTCCGGGCAGCGGGCATCCTGTGCAGGGGCCCCGGGAGGCTGAGCCAAGGTCAGCAGGGCTGGAGCACCTTGAGAACATTGCTCCACCCCGTCCCCACCTCCGTGTGGGCCTCCTAGGGCCTCAGCCAAATGGGGCCTTCCTCTGAGGCCCTGGACCTGAGCATGGGGGTCTGGCAATGGGGAAAAGTTCCAAACGGGCTGGACAGATAAATTCTAGGGTTCCCATGACCACTGAGAGGCGGCCTGAGGGGAGGAAGTGGCAGGAGGGTCCTGTACCATTCCCAAGTCTTTGACCTGGATGACCGACTAGGCAGGTGGGTGTCACCTTCCCTCCCAGTGGGTGGGAGGTTTGGGGGGTGTGATCTGGAATCCATGGTGTTTTTTGGAATGTGGGTCTCTGGCCTCTCCACCTACTGGAGCTCCTGCTGAAGCAGGCAGCTGGGCAGGAGCATGGATAGATTTTCCTAATTCTCTCAATGCAGAGGGAAGGTAGGGCACGAGGGCCTTGAGTCCAGCAGACCTGGTGTGGGGTCCAAGCCTTGTCCCTAGGAACGCATGGGCCTCGATTTCCTTGTCCAGAGAGTGGAGGAAGGGAGTGTATTCTTTGCAAGATTGTCACCCCACAAATTGTTACCTGGGGGCTGACACATCAGCCTGCAGCCATGTATTTTCTTTGTGAAAATAATCTCACTGTGACATTTTTTGTGCAGGCAGGAGGTTGAGGATGTGTGGGAAGTTAGTACCCTGATCTCGGGGATAATTCTTTGGAGGGGTATAGAGTAGGGAGGATTTCTCCAGAAGATCTCATTTTAGAGGTAGAAATGTACTCAGGAAAAGCAGGAGGGGCTTAGCGGAGCAGCCCCCTTCCTTGGGGCAGCCATCTGAGGTTGTACCTTGCTTGCTGTTGGGGTGTCACGGGTTTTGGGCCTCACTCTCATCGGTGCCCGCTCACTGGTCCTGGCGACCCTCACAGCAGCCCTTTCTACAGACGGGAAGCCAGGCTGCGCTCAGTCCTGCATCCATCTCCTGGCCTGGGGATCAAGGCTGGGTGGCGGCTCCTCACGCCACAAGCTGCTTGATGGGCCAGCCGCAGCCCTCCGTCCCCACGCCTCTAGCTCCTGGTTTGTGCCCTCCAGCTTAGGCCCTACTCCCAGAAAGGCCACAGTGCACTTTTATATAAATCCAGGGTTGTTGTTTTCAATAAACCATCAGGGACATTTTCCTGTGTCGATGCTGATCTGCAGAACCTTTTTTTGAAAGTTGAGATATAGTCCACATTCTGTCAGAAACGTGTAGTCTTGAGTAGTTTTTTAGTACATTCACAAAGTTGTGCAGCCATCACATCTGTCTAGTTCCAGAACATTCCATCACCCCAAAAGGAGCCCTTTGTTCATCAGCATCACCCCTCAATCTCTCCCCCAGCCCCTGGGATCTACTATTGCACCTTCTTTTTCTTTTTCTTTTTTTAACAGCTTTATTGGGATTACGGTTCATATACGTACAGTTCACCCATTTGAAGTGTACAATTGAATAGTTTCTAGCATATTCACAGACAGGTGAATCCTCCACATTTCCCTCACCCCAAAAGAGCCCCAGACCCTTAATCATCAGTGCCTTGTACCCCCAGCCACTTACCTGTGCTCTTTGTCTATTTGCTGTTATGTAGCTTGGCGGGGGGGACTGGAGGCAGAGAAAGGCTGGTGAGTTTCATGGGGTCCTCTCCTTCCTCTGGCCATATCTGACCCCAGTTCCTTCCTGCTGTCCTGGGCATGTAGGCTCAGTGTGCGCATGAGCCAGCACAGCATGATGGAAAGGTGCATCATCCTGAAGGCAAGAGTCAGGGGCTCTGTGTGCTGGGCTCCTGGTCCTAGCAGACAGAGCCAGGCCCAGGGGAATCGCCTGGCTTCCAGCCATGGCCCTGCTTGTCCAGAGGTCCTGGTGGGGATTCTAGAGGGGAGTGCAGCTGGCCGCCATGTGGGTCCTGACGTTGGAGGGGAGGGGGTTTCCTTCTGGCTGTCCCAGCTTCCATGCTGCCCTCCGTGGTCCCTAGAGGGGCTTGGGGGGCAGACATGCAGTTGCTGAATTAGAGGCTCATCCTAGAGATTTTTCAGGGGAGATCAACAAAATCAAGCACTTTTCAATCTCAGACTGATGAGCTGTTACTGAGAGCGACTGCTTGTTGAGTTGGTATCAGTGACGTGTTTGGAGAGGCCCCGGGCCTGTTGGGCCCCACACAAGTGCTTTTTCTAACAGCTTGATGGAGCTGCAGTCCACATACCGCACAGTTTAGCCACTAGAAGTGTGCAAGTGAGTTTAGTGTATCACAGAGTCGTGCAACCTTCACCAGGGCCAACTTTAAAACATTCCGTCAACCCAAAAAGAAGCCCCGTCTCTCCTGGCGTCACTCCCCACCCCTCCCTTCCTGGCCCCCACGAGCCCCCTTCCCGTCCGCGGATGAGCCTGTTCCGGACGTGTCACCACGTGGACTCACACCCTGTGTGGCCTTCTGTGTCTGGGTCCCCCCCGAGCGTCGTGGGCTTAGGGTCCGTCCCCGGGGCCACGCATGTGGGCGCCTCGCTCCTGTTCGCGGCCGCGGGATGTTTCCACGTGTTTGTCTGCTCACCACCTGATGGCCGAGTGACGCGTGCGTGAGGGACACGCTGTGTGTATCTGTCCCCCCACCGCTGGACACTTGGGCTCTTTTCTCCTCTTGCCCTCGATGAGTCCCACTGCTCTGAACACCGGGGTGTCGTTTTGCATGAACACATTCGTTCTCTCGGGTAGATGGGAGTGTGGGGTTGCTGATCAGTCCAGAGTGGCTACAGCAGTTGGCGTTCCTGGGCCTGTGCTACTCGTTTGTCGTGCAGTCTCCCTGTGGGTCGGCATCGTTAGTCTCCTAGAGAGGTGGGTGGCCTCTAGGCTTCAGAACCCCTGGTTTTGGATTTCCCAACAGGTCACACCTGAGCAGCTATTTGGGGTCCTGGCCCTGAATCTTAACGAGGTTTCACCATCCGCCCCCCCCAGCTACGATACCCTAGTCCCCAACACGGTACCCACGAGGAGACTGTTAGGGGTTGTCCCTCAAATACCTGTTATCCTGGAATCCTTTCTTGAGAACACAGCCTAACTGTGTTTCTGAAATGTCAGCCAGGCTCCCGGAGCTGGGCCCCAGCCTTCTGCATCAGGGTGTTGATCCCTGCTCTCAGCGTTGGGGTCTGCTGGGGGCTCCAGTCGGGAGGCGGCACTGGGGAGAGGGCAAGGGTTGGCCCAGCACACCTTGCCCGCCGCTGACCCCTCTCTGTCCACAGCCCCAGTGGGAAGAAGTTCCGGAGCAAACCCCAGCTGGCACGGTATCTGGGGGGTTCCATGGACCTGAGCACCTTTGACTTCCGGACGGGCAAGATGCTGATGAGCAAGATGAACAAGAGCCGGCAGAGGGTCCGCTATGACTCATCCAACCAGGTCAAGGTAAGCTCCAGGCCTCTGGGGGCGCCTGGCCGGCTCCGTCGATGGAGCATGTGATCCTCGATCTTGGCGTCATGAGTTCAAGGCCCGTGTTGGGCATACAGGTTACTTTAAAAAAGTCCAAAAATTAAGGGGCACCTGGGTGGCTCAGTAGGTTGAGTGTTCAACTGTTGGTTTCAGCTCAGGTCATGATCTCCAGGTCCTAGGATCGAGCCCCCTGTCGGGCTTCCGGCTCAGCAGGGAGTCTGCTTCTCCTGCCTCTGACCTTCCCTCCTGCTGTCACTCACGCGTGCTCTTTCTCTCTCAAATGAATATATAAAAAAACCTTTTTTTTTTAAAGATTTTATTTATTTATTTATTTATTTGAGAGAAAGCATGAGCGGGGTCGGGGGGAGACAGAGGGAGAAGCAGGCTCCCCACTGAGCAGGGAGCCCGATGCGGGGCTCAATCCCAGGACCCTGAGATCATGACCTGAGCCGAAGGCAGACACTCAACCCAGTGAGCCACCCAGGCGCCCCTAAATAAAAAATCTTTAAAAAAAGTAAATCTTGGCGTACCTGGGTGGCTCAGTCGTTAAGCGTGTGCCTTTGGCTCAGGTCATGATCCTAGGGTCCTGGGATTGAGCCCCACATCGGGCTCCCTGCTCTGCGGGAGGCCTGCTTCTCCCTCTCCCTCTTCCCCTGCTTGTGTTCCCTCTCTGTTTCTCTCTGTCAAATAAATAGATAAAATCGTAAAAAATAAATAAAAATGTAAAAAAATCTTTTAAAAAATTAAAAAGAAAAAAATCCTGCTTTTGGGTGGAGAGAAGTTTCCACAATTCAGTTTATTTGCCGTGGTATTAAAGTCATAACTATTTGTTGAGGGAAATTTGGGAGCTACAGAAAAGCAGAAGGAAGGAAAGAAAGCATCTTCGCTCAGTCCCTGGGAGAGGCCGCAGGCCTGCGCTCCCCAGCTGTCCCCGGTGTGCCTGTCACTCTCCCCAAACCTGGCAGTGCGGGCATCGCTGCAGGGGCCTGGAAGGCAGCCCGTCTGCAACAGCTGATGGGCCGCCCACGGGGGCCCGGTGACACTGTGTCCACCAGTCTCTGACTGGGGGGGGGGGGGGCTCTGGTCCTGGCTGCGGGACAGCCCCAGCAGAGCCCCACCATGGCCCCACCGTGGACAGCAAATAGGGCCTGTGCTTGCCGTCGCCTCCAGCCCTGGGGGTGCCTCGGCGTAGGCTGGTGACCGAGGGACACGGGCTCTATTCTCCAAAGTCCACGGGGAGGGGTTTCCTCCGCTGCTGGGGAGAGCCCGCTGAGGACCCTGGGGCTGCGGTACCAGCTTGTGTGTGTCTGCAGGGCAAGCCCGACCTGAACACGGCCCTCCCCGTCAGGCAGACGGCATCCATCTTCAAGCAGCCAGTGACCAAGATCACCAACCACCCCAGCAACAAGGTGAAGAGTGACCCCCAGAAGGCCGTGGAGCAGCCTCGGCAGGTGAGCCCGCGCGCCCCACACACATCCCCAGGCGAGGTCGTGGCGGGCATAGAGTGCTGTCTTGTGACCTGCCTCTCAAGAGCCAAGAGCTCTCTGTGCTTTTGAGCGTGTTTGCAAATGCCCGGGAGATAGCTGGCATGCAGGCACTGGCCGGAGCTGGAGGCTGTGGGGCTGCTCCCAGGGAGGCCCCGTGTCATTTCCAGCCCCCTCGGTGGCATCGGGGTCGTTGCCGTCTAAGTAACCGCTCAGACCTGTGCGTCTGCCCCCATGCTTAGGACGTGCCTCTCCGCACGCTGTCCCCAGAGTCCCGTGGTGCTGTCCGTGGGTGCGAGCCCCTTGCACCTGCAGGGCCTGCCCTGGTGCCGGGCCACGGTGGGGCCTCTGGGGGCCTTGCAGCTCAGCCCTGCTGGACGGTGGACTTCTGTACTGAAGTTTCAGCGTGAAGGGGGCTTCGCCTCCCCTGGGCTGTGCCATGTTTTGGGAACCATAGACCGTGAGCACCGACGGCAAGGCTGAGGTCCCGGGGGGGTTTCTCTGGCCTGGGAGGACAGGCCTGGCGGGAAATGCCACGGGTCCTACTGCACCCTCGTTCCCAAGCGGGTAGCTCTGGCACGTGGGGGTCAGAGGTCGTGCTGAGACTGCTGTCCCGCGTGTGGATGGGCCCCAGCTGTCGTCGGGACTGGCCAGGGCTGCCTGTCGTGGGGGCACGTCCATCAGCCTCATGTCTGTGTGTCTGGTGGCAGCTTTTCTGGGAGAAGAAGCTGAGTGGCCTCAATGCCTTTGACATCGCCGAGGAGCTCGTGAAGACCATGGACCTGCCCAAAGGCCTGCAAGGTAGGCCCGGGATAGAGGGGGACCAGGCACAAGGAAGCCAGCGGTCTCTGCAGTGTGGTGAAGGACCGTAAATAGCGCGCCCTGGGCCGAGCGCCGCGCTCCTGCTGGGCTGGGAGGAAGGACAGGGCTCCCCCCGTGCAGCCTGGACCCAGGGCCCTGGTCCCCCAATCCTGGAGGCCACCCCACCTGTGTTGCGGCTCCCGAGCTGTGTCGGGGGCCCTGCAAAGACTGGCCTGTGTGTGGTTTTGCTCCCACGCCGCGGAAAGGCCACCACACTGTGACGGACGGGCACGGCTCCTGCTTTTGTCAAGTGCCTGAGCGCCTGTAGCGGGGAGTTGGGAATGAGACCCGAGGCTCGGGGGGAGGCCTCAGGTGCCCAGTGGTGACCACCCTCCTGTCCCTGGTAGGCGTGGGGCCTGGCTGCACGGATGAGACCCTGCTGTCGGCCATCGCCAGTGCCCTGCACACCAGCACCATGCCCATCACCGGGCAGCTCTCAGCCGCCGTGGAGAAGAACCCCGGGGTGTGGCTCAACACGGCCCAGCCCCTCTGCAAGGCCTTCATGGTGACCGATGAGGACATCAGGTACTGCCCTGCACACCACCCCCCCACCGGTGCCTGTGGCCGGCGCGCCCCCTGCCGGATGTGAGCGCTCCTGTCTCCCCACAGTCCCGCTTCACTGCTGACATTCTCTGGGGCGCGGGGGCTCGAAGCGGACGCAGCCACAGCAAGGGCGGGTTTGAAAAGCATCAGCAGGAGCTTTCCCGCGAGTCTTGGTTCAGAGCAGGCCAGGGCCGAGGCGGCCCGCGGAGGGGGTGGGAAGCGTCCTAGCTCTGTAGGAACGTTCTCGGGAAGAGAAAGTGGCTCTTCACCTACGCGCACAGGCTCGCAGTGTGGCCTGCCCATCCTCGGGCACATGAGGCCTGGCAGGTGCCTGGCCGGGGGGCTCCAGAGAGTGGCATGGGACGGGCGGGGTGGCGCCAGACGTGCCAGAGGCCCCGAAGGCCAGCCCGAGTTTAGGCTGGACCCTGCGGCCGGTGGGCTCCGGAAGGGTTTCCCAGCTGAGCCAGGGAGCAGGTGCAGGAGGGTCGGGGCAGGAGGCATCCCCGAGCTGGAGTCCTCTGGGAAGGCATCCTGGTGAGGAGATAGTTGAAGCTGGCAGCAGAACAAGAAACATCTAGGAGCTCTGGACAAGTGGAACCTGTGTTCTTGCGACTGAAGCGTCAACGGACAGCTGAGGTCAGAATGAGTTAGGGGACTTTCTGTGGACCCCACTCGGAGAAGGGGCTGGAAACACAGCAGCCGTGGCCAGGACTGGCTTACAGGTGGGGTCGTAGGTGGGCGGGCTTCCTGTGTTGGGCCTGGGGCTTGGAAGCCGTGCGGGTACAGGAGAGAGCCCCATGCCCTGCACGCGGAAGACACAGAATCGCCCACAGGCCCGCAGAGGATCTCGTCTCCGGGGAGTTGGGAGTATAAGAAGACACAACCATCTGGAAAGACCAGCGGGTTTTTAAAGCCAAGCAGAACTTTTAGAAACAGGAAAAGCCACAGAAAGGAGAACCTCGTGTCATGGGTTAGGTGGTAGATTTGGTCTGGGTGGGGGGGTGGCTGCCAGAAGATGGGGCCGACGTTTGCCAGGCCTGGCGACAGACAGTGCTGGTTCGTGTTCCTGTTCTGGTGAGGGTCTCGGCCTCAGGGAGGGAAGGCCGGCGGCTTTCTGGACGGCCGTAACAGAAGGCAAAAGACCCGAGAAAGCCGTTCTCCGTCTAGCATTCTCCAGCAAAATCCCCTCACCCACCAGGAGACTCACCCTGGCTAGCCGTGGTGACCGAGCACCGTTGTCCACTTTCTTTGCAAACCGTGCTCAAGCGACAGGAAAGGGAGTCAGGTGTGCGCGTGCGCTGGGCCCCAGCAGGTGCTAACTGACGCAGCGGTGCCTGCAGGGGGCGCCGGGAGGGGCGGCAGCAGAGGGGAGCGGGGGCCCCCACCTCAGTGTCGCCCCAGCGGAGGTGGAGTGCAGGGCCCAGAAGCTGAGCCAGAGGCCAGCTCGCTGTGCGCGGGCCATTCTGCACCCGGGATGAGGGGCGAGGGCGGAGGACGCTCCCTCCCGGCCAGCGTAGCCCGTGTGTCCCCAGGAAGCAGGAGGAGCTGGTGCAGCAGGTGCGCAAGCGGCTGGAGGAGGCGCTGATGGCCGACATGCTGGCCCACGTAGAGGAGCTGGCCCGGGACGGCGAGGCGCCGCTGGACAAGCCCGGCGCCGACGAGGACGAGGACGAGGATGAGGACGAGGATGAGCCCGACCAGGACCAGGAGATGGAGCACGTCTAAAGTAGGTGCTGGCTGGCCGGGTGGGTCCCAGGCCACAGCTGGTGCTTAGACGGTGACCGTGGGGACGAGGGCTGTGCCCTGTGCAGGGCGGCAGCTGTGCTGGTCCCCCAGAGGGCAGCTCCCAGTCAGGGCGCTGATGGCGCCCTCTCCCTGTCTTTCCAGAGGCCCTGTGGAGCCCTGCCTGCAGGGAGCCTCCTGCAGACTCCGCCTTCTCCACGCTCGGACCACGCTCTGTGGCCCGGCCCAGGACGATGGCGGCCCCTCCTAGGCCCTCCCAGGCGTGTCCCCTCCCCTGGGCCCACGGGGGCACGGCTGGAGGGCAGCCCCTGCCTGACGGGCCCCCCACGTTGGCTCTTCTCTGAAGGGCCTGGGTGCAGAAGTGTCCGCCGGCCCCGGGCCTGCCTGCAGGAGGCCCCCCTCGGCGCTGTCACTCCACCTGGACTCAGGGCCGGCCTCGTCCCCACGGCCGCATCACACAGGACGGCTGCCACCAGGCGGCCTGCGAGGGTCCCCAAGGGGCTGGAGAAACAGTTTTTGGAACAGTCCCACCTCCCGATCCCCGCGTGAGGGATGCCATTCCGGGGTCCGCACGTCAGCCCTCCAAGGAGGGGGTGCCCACCAGCGGGCGAAGCCGCCACGGCTCGGAGCTCATCTGGAGGCAAACGGCACAACCCAGACGTTGTCCTTCAATAAATCCGTGACACAAACGAGGCTGGACGTCCACATAACTGCTTAGCCTTTGTGTTTGCTGCACGTGGATGCGAACTCTCGCCTTTGTGTTGGGAAACCTCACTGTCCACAGCGCGGCCGACCCGGCCTGAGGGTCAGCCAGCCACCGGCGACGGCGAACTGCTCACGGCCGGCTCACCAGGCCGGGGCTCCAAGGCAGCTGGGCCGTCTGCCGGCCTCCCTTCCCCTCCCCGTGTAGCGGGGACGGGGACGCCCAGCGCTTAGGGCCAGAGCTGGTCCTGGGCCGCGGCTCCTCCGAGGTCCCATCTTGGGGTGCGTTCTGTGGCCCGGCGTTTCCAAGCACCCGGTGCCCAGAGCAGCGGCCTCTGGGGAGCTCTGGGCGCAGGGGGCGTCGGAATCGTGGTCCTTCATCCCTGCCCCCTCCTGGCCTGAGTGCCTTGGGTGAGGGGCGCCCTCTTGTCCCCGCTCGGCCCTGGCCCGCAGCCGGAGACCGTCGGGAAAGACCTGGGTCGCTGCCTGTGTGGCTGTCACTCCGGCTGATGCACAGGGTGTGGGCGATGGCGGGAGCCACCTGCTCGTCCGAGGACGCTCGCTGGCCCGGCACGGCACATTGGCAGCATCCTTCCAGTCAAAGCACAAATCCTCCAGAACCACCCACGAAGGCCGGCTGAGTGCGCGTGGCTGGCGTGCTGGGGGGGCCGGGCCACCACAGGCCTCGGGAAGGCCTCTCCCCTGAGGCCACACGTCGTCCTGCCCTTCACGGAGGCCGCAGCCGCTGAAGGAGCTCCGTCTGGGGCTGGCCCCTGTGTGGGCCTGAGGTCCAGGTGCCCGGAGCCCTGCCCAGCGGAAGGGACTGCGGGGCCCGGGAGGCACCCTGTCCTGTGGGCGACCGTTGAATAAAGCCATCTCGGTGAGTGTGGTTTGGAGCCTTGCCTTAATTCTGAAGACCCAGAGCCTTTGTGTCCAGGGGAGATGGACCCCCGCCCGGGCCTTTGGTGCCTAGTGTCCTACTTGTCACCTTAGCGTGGGCTGGGTGATGGAAGGGGACCCAGGGGACCGACTGGCCTTTCCCAGGGAGGGTGGGGTTCAGCTCCTAGCACCTGTAGTGAAAGAGCCGGTTTGGCCAAGGTTTCCAGAAGATGTGGAGCCCCCAGGGCCCCCTGCTGCCCGGACTGGAGGCCCCCACGTGCGCTCTGTCCCAGCTGTGCATTGTGGGGGTCCTGTGCCAGGAGCTCAGGCGGGGAGCCCCCCCGGGGCCAGCACTGGCGAGATGATTGGGAAGGGGGCCCGCATGACAGCGCCCCTACCGTCCCCGGCGCCCGGCCACCACCTGCCCTGCCTGGGGCCCCCTCTACTCCACGCCCCTGCCACACGGTCGCTCCACAGGCTTGGGCTCTACCCTGCAGTGAGCGCCGCCCTCCTGGAGGGGGCCCAGCTCCCAGAGGGGAAACAGGCTCAGGGTAGCAACTTGCCTGGGGCCGCCAGCTGAAGAGGTCCAGCCTGGCTGAGAACTTGGGTCTCCCCGACTCCAGGCCCACAGAGGCCCTGAGGGGCCGCGAATCTCGGGACCTCAGAAGCTAGGACAGGGTCCAGCGTCCCAGCCCCACAGTAGGGCCCTCCAGCCCCCAGAGCCCACCCTGACCCTGAGCTGGGGTCCCCCACGAATCCTCTCCTCTCCCTAGAGGGACCCCCGGCGGCAAGGGCCGAGGAGGGGGCTCCCAGGCAGCCAGGTCACCCGGTGCGCCCAGCTCCAACATCTCCCAATGCCACCTGCTGGGTGCCAGGGTTTCAGCACCATCAGCTCTGATGTCCACACCACAGACCAGAACCACCCCCATGTCTCCACCCGGTGCCCAGCCGCCCCCACTCCAAGGCAGGCACAGAGCTTTCTGAACCATGCTGCACCCCACCCCGCACAACAGTCCTGGGACACCTCCTCATCTGTGCGAGCCTCCCACGGCCAACTTGGCCACTTAAAACCACACGGATTGATTCTCTGACAGTTTGGGTTCAGAAGTCCTCAAACCCCGGCGCAGGCAGGGCTGGTCCCCCTGGGGCCCCCGGGAGACCCAGCTCCAGCCTCTTCCTGGCCCGCGGCCCCCCCTCCATCCTCACCGCCAGCAGCGCGGGGTCTGCCCATCTCCGGGACTCCCACCCTCTGCCTCCCCCTCGTGAGGGCCTCCTGAGGACGCCGGGCCCCCCAGGAACCCAGGGTCACCCCCTCCTTGGGGGCCCTGACAGGGTCCCCTCTGCCGTGTGAGGGGACATGTCCACAGGTCTTCCCAGGACAGGGATGTCTTTGGGGGACTTAGTTGTCAGACCATATTACCCCGAAGATAAGATTCCTTATCTCTTTGGGCAGCCCGCAGCCTTGACCATCTCTTCCTTCCTTTCAAGCTCACTCCAGCCCCCTGGTCTCCGTCCATGTTGTCCCTCAAGGGGAATGAGCAGTTGCTACAGAAGCCCAGGAACAGGTCGAGCTCAGGATCCACCAAGTTTGAGGAGGAAGGGACCCTAAGGGTGACCTAAGGCAGTGACGCGAACAGAACAAGTTGGGAGATTACTGATCGAGACCTGGCCGGATGGGCTGGAGCGGAGGGACCAGCTTGCTCAGATTTCTAGAATAGTCCAGTGGGATGGCCACCAGCCACATACGGCGATATCAGTTTCAATAGGTTACAACTAATTAAACATCCCATTCCTCGCACCCAGGCCTGGTGGCTACTAAAGCGGACACAGCACATGGAGAACGTTCCATCATCTGGAAAGTTCTATTGCCCAGTACCGTTCTAGAACAGGGACTCTCAGCCTTTGCTGGGGGGGGATGCTCAGACGCTGCTGTAAGATCAGGTAAGGCTTGGTCCAGATTCAGGCACTTAAAACGTGGAAATAACCCCAGGGTCTATCAACAAACAAACGGAAATGGCGCGGACAGGAGCAAGGTGCGGACATGCGCTGCACTGGGGACGGATCCTGAGCCCAGGACGTCCGGGGAGGGAACCGGACACACAAGGCTACTGTGGGTTTTTTGTTCCAATGTGATGTTAATTTTATGCCGAGGGACACCCAGACAGCTGGTAAACGTGAGTTCTGGGGGTGCCCGGGGCTGTGTCCGGAAGAGATGAGCATTTCTTCAGCGGACGGAGTGAAGACCTCGTCCTGTCCACAGGGGCACCATTCACCAGGGGCCCGAACGCGACACCGGGTGGAGGAAAGTCGAACTGCTCTCCTGTCCCAGAGCTGAGCTGACCGTGCTCCTGGACTGAGTCATGCCCTGCGCCTTCCTGGTTCTGCGGCTTGGCTCCCTAAGCATGGGACCCAGTCCCCTTGTCTCCCCTTGGAGATCTCTCCTTAGATCCTACTGGTCCTGTTTCTCTGGGGAGCCCTCACACAGCCAGAGTGCGAACCCATGGACGTGAAAGGTCAGGAGAGGTCAATCCACAGAGACAAAGTGGGTTTGCGGGCGCTGGGGGCTCCAGGGCTGGGGGGGGGTTGCTGCCCATGGGATGGGGTTTCTTGTTTGGGTAACGATAATGTTCTAAGACCAACAGTCGTGATGATCGCACAAATTCTCAAATTTACTAAAAACCATTCAACGGTCTACTTTAAAATACCAAACTTTGATGCACACGAATTCTCTCTCAGTTTTAACAATAAGAAAATTTCAGGGTCTTAGGGAACCTGAAGTGTGTGCAGAGATCCCATTCCTCGGACAGTTGGGAAGGAGCCTGAGGGTCCCCCAAATGGCTGTGGGGAGAGCAGGTGGCCCGCAGTGTGGACGTGCAGCTGCCTGGCCAGGAATCTTTAAAAAAAAAAAAAAAAAGACAAACATTAACTTAGGCTGAGTTCAAGAAACGTGCCATGGGAGACAGCGCAAAGCAAGTCCGTTAACGTGAAACTGCAGAAGAGGCAAAGATGCTCCCAGGGGCCGGCGGCGTGGGGAGGCCCAACAGCAAGGGGCGGACACAGCTTTCCGGGGTGTCGACCTGGGCAAGCAGAGCTGATCAGTCAGTCGGACAGTAAAAACAGGTGTGTTTTCTGAAACTAATACAACACTGTCTGTTAGCTAACTGGAATTCAAATAAACACTTGGGGAGGGGGGAAAGCTGTGTTTCATTGCGTGTAAACTGTCTCAACAGCATCTGATTTGCAAAGTTTAACTTGCATCCACCCCCAAACTGCCCCCAGCACACATTCTGATAAGCGACAAGGCGGAAAATAGAAACTATCCAGGGAAGACGGTTCTGTGGTTTTATATTCTTTGGCCATTTTTTCCCCTTGACTATTTCTTATTCTTTCAAAATGTGCGCACAGAGGAGGAGGGCGCCGCTGCCCCCCCAGCTCGGGCAGCGCTGAGCATACACCCGGGTTCCCCCCGCGGGCGCCCCTGGAGCCCCACCACGGCGTTTCTGCTATTACAGCATTTCCCCAACGTTTGAAGAACTGTTCAAAAAAAAAAAAAAAAGTTAAAAACAAAGAGGTGAACTATCACTAAATCCTCCTGAGGGAAAATAACCATGCCCAGCCTCATGCAACCCAGAGCAGACCCTCTTTTGCTGGTTTTGTTGGTTTCTTTTGGCATTTTCCTTCATGCTGCTTTTTATCCTTCTTGCTCCCCAGCTGCCGGCCCCCACAAGCCCCCTTCCCGTCCGCGGATGAGCCTGTTCTGGACGTGTCACCCACGTGGACTCACACCCCGTGTGGCCTTCTGTGTCTGGGTCCCTCCCTGAGCATCGTGGGCTCGGAGTCTGTCCCCTCGCTCCTGCTTGCGGCCCAGTGATGCTCTGGCGCGTGGGGGACCGTGTGAGTATCCGTGGACCCACAGATGGACGCCTGGGTCGTCTACACGTTCAGGCTTCGGTGAACACGGGGGTGTGTCTGCTTCAGTCCATTTTCAGTTCTCTGGGTTCACGGCGGGTGGGGCTGCTGGGGCTGTTCCTGGCACGCCCTGCTCCGTTCTTGGCACCCCTGCCTCCCAGGGGTTTGTCACCAGCCCCCCCAGCCCCAGGGCAGCTCCAGCAGGGGTCCCGTCATGAGTTCCCTCACGTTCCCAAGCACCTCCTGCAAGTCAAAGTAGAGAGAAGGGAAAGCCGACTTCCGGGGCCCACCCCACCTCGTGGGACTTTCACGCTGTTTTCATTTACAGACATCTCCAAATGCATCTCTCAAAGGACAGTTTTTAAAACTTAAAAATACTTTTTTTTGTTTTTTTTTTATCATGGAAGGTTCTGAAATGCAGCAAACAGACAAGTGCAGCCCAGGTGCCGCCTCGGGAAGGCCGCTCAGGGCCCACACCACCTCCCAGCACGGTCCCCTGCCTCCACGTTATCCCAGCACTCTACCAGAGGGATCTCCGACGCAGAGCAGAGTCGGCCGGATCAGACAATGACCATCGTCCGCGAACCACCTGCACCAGCCACACACGGGTTGGCATGGAAGGGTAAGCGGTTCTCAGCACCCAGGGACTCTGTCCGAGGACGGTTTTGGTCGTCCTGCCTGGGGAGGTATTGTGGGTTGCACTGTGTCTCCCCAGAAAAGACTGTCCATGTCCCAACCCCTCAACCTGGGAATGGGAGCTTACTTGGAAATAGGGTCTTGGCAGATGTGATTAGTTAAGATGAGGTCACACTGGAGTAGGGCGGTCCTGAACCCTCATGAGATAAGAGATGTGGATGCAGACGCACAGGGAGAAGCTGCGTGATCGCGGACGCACACCAGGGCGATGTGCCCACAGCCAAGGGACGCCAAGGATGGCCAGCCACGCAGGAGCTGGGAGAGGCAGGAAGGACCCTCCCTGGAGTCTTCAGAGAGCCAACGGTCCAGCCATACCTTGACCTAGGACTTTTGGGCCCCAGGACTTGGAGAGAATACATTGGTGTTCAAAGCCACCCAGTTTGTGGTAATTTGCTAAGACCACAGAAAAGTGCAGGAGTGGGGTGCTGGTGGCTCCGGGAATCACATAGTGGGGGCCAGGGATGCAGCCAGACACACACAGTGCCCAGCACAGCCCCCACCAGGCTGGCCACCCACCTTTTACCTGCGGCATCGTCCACCTCTGCCCATCCCTCACTCCATCCTGTTTCTGGTGTGCTTCAAACCACACCACGGACACCACCTTCTGCCTCCTAAATACGTCAGTGTGCAAACTGCTCATCGGTCACTGGTTTACAGATCTTTTTATTTTTTTCAAAAGATTTTATTTATTTGGGGCGCCTGGGTGGCTCAGTCATTAAGCGTCTGCCTTCGGCTCAGGTCATGGTCCCAGGGTCCTGGGATCGAGTCTTGCGTCAGGCTCCCTGCTCAGCGGGAAGCCTGCTTCTCCCTCTCCCACTCCCCCTGCTTGTGTTTCCTCTCTCGCTGTGCCTGTCTCTGTCAAATAAATAAATAAAATCTTAAAAAAACACACACACAAAAACTGTGGTCCTGAGGCGCCTGGGTGGCTCAGTCATTAAGCGTCTGCCTTCGGCTCAGGTCATGATCCCGGGGTCCTGGGATCGAGCCCCACATTGGGCTCCCTGCTCGGCGGGGAGCCTGCTTCTCCCTCCCCCACTCCCCCTGCTTGTGTTCCCTCTCTCGCTATGTATCTCTCTGTCAAATAAACAAATAAAATTTTTAAAAAACAAAATAAAAAACAAAAACTTCTTTTCTCTTAAACTGGTTTTTGTATTTTATCACTGCAAGGGAAAACATTCTGCTCAGGTCATGATACCAGGGTCCTGGGATCGAGCCCTGCATCGGGCTCCCTGCTCTGCGGGAAGCCTGCTCTCCCTCTCCCACTCCCCCTGCTTGTGTTCCCTCTCTCGCTATGTATCTCTCTGTCAAATAAATAAATAAAATTTTTAAAAAAACAAAAACTTCTTTTCTCTTAAACTGGTTTTTGTATTTTATCACTGCAAAGGAAAACATTCTGCCTTATGAGCTGAAATACATTAAGCAGAAGGAGCAACGAGGCAGGGCATTAGGAACTGCTTGGATCCAGGACCTGCAGCCCGCAGGCCTCTATGACCATCTCCACTCATTTTTTTAAAAAGATTTTTATTGGGGCGCCTGGGTGGCTCGGTCGTTGGGCTTCTGCCTTCGGCTCAGGTCATGATCCCAGGAAGCCCAATGCGGGGCTCGATCCCAGGGTCCTGGGATCGAGCCCCACATCCGGTTCCCTGCTCAGCGGGAAGCCTGCTTCTCCCTCTCCCACTCCCCCTGCTTGTGTTCCCTCTCTCGCTGTGTCTCTCTCTGCCAAATAAATAAAT